TGTTTTATTAGTGTTTTATTAGTATTTTATTAGTGTTTAGAGCACTCTGTCAGGTAGCTAAAGCTATACGAGTGACCAGTATGGTGATTAGAGGTGCACTTGTGTTTATTAGTGTTTTTTTTTAGGCAGTCTCTCCTTTTGTGCTTCTTAATCCTACACTAAGTTCGAAGAATTACTCACAAATACAGTTAACATACATTAACACTCAAATGTTAGTTGACAGTCCCTTGAAACTTGAATATTGATTCTGAAAACTTGAGCCAGGAAACTTTATTCTCATTTTCTTGAACTTCTTAGATTGAAGGATTGAGTTCTGAGGGACTGTCAACTAATATTTGAGTGGTAATGTATACATATCATAATGGAAACCACCCTGACCATTCTTATAAATGCTATCTTTTGAAATTATATTGATCACTTTTAATTTGAAGCATCAACATCACCCCCCACCCCACTTGTGAAGATTGGTGTGTTCAAATTCCTGTCCCCCAGGGGGCAAATAATGTGTTCAAATGTGCTACCCAACATTTTTCAAAAGGCAAAATCAGTGACTGTGACTTTCTACTTTACTGACCAAGCTTTAAAACCTAGATTTTGCAGACCTTTTCTTCCCTGAGCCTTCTTATTTAACCCATTACTCCCATGAGTGATCAAGACAGAATTTCTCCTTACAATATCAATACAATATCAAGCAGACAAGTGAAGAGAATAAAGAAAAATGTCAATAAGGGGAATTTTTAGTTGATCCAGTACAAAATTCTTGGAACTAACATCATAAGAATTGTATGGCAGACAGTTAGGAGAATCACTATTGGGATCTCGAGAGTGAAAGGGTTAAAGATATAATGCTTGGATTCCAATGGAAAGACTTGACACTACTGGTTCAAATTTCTCACCCCAGCCAGGCAAGGTTCAAATTCCCCACTGCCCAGTGTGTGGAAGGGTGAGGGGATGTTGAAGGTTTGAATTCAACTGTTAGAAATAAATGGCAGTGAACTTGGTGCTGAATTTTAACTGAGCCAATCAAATTTTTTTTGAACTCTTTAGTCTCCTAGAGCTCTTTTTAGCATTGTTCAGATGTAAGGATAAATTACTGAGGCAGGTTTTGTACAGTCACATCGTCTCAGACATCAAGAATATAAATGCCAAGCACAAGAATAATAAAGTTAATAATGTGAGTACATGACATTGAGGTGAACTTTGAAAACGTGCTTTTAAAAATTACAAAATTTAATATTTTTGGTAGTCATGGTAATGATACTTCTAGCAATGGATTTATGATTACTACTTTTTTTGTTACAGTTTTAGGCAGTTCTTAGATTCATGAAATAATCTATAGTACATTTTGACCATCTACTGAGTGATAAATATTCTGACTGATGAACGGAATGAAAGTCTCACAGGCTAATTGACTGAATGACTGACAAACTGACCAACAGACTGGCCAGCTGACTGACTGACTGACAAACTGACCAACAGACTGGCCAGCTGACTGACTGACTGACTGACTGACTGATTGGCCAGGTGCCTGACTAGCCAGCCCACTAGCTGCTAGACTGAATTACTGACTGACTGACTGAGTAGATAATTAACTGACTCACTGACTCAATGACTGAGTAGCTAATTGACTAAGGGCTGATAGTTTCTAAAGAAACTGTTTGGGGCTGC